CGCCCACCCAGCCACCTGTCAGGCTCCATTCCGAGTTCTCCAAGAGCCACCCGATGGCACAGAAGCTACCTTCCCCGGTGAAGTCCCAGGGAGGGAAGGAAGGCTCTGAAGGGTGCTGGGCCTTCCAACCCAGCACAAGTTTCCTTTTTCTCCTGCTGAGTTTCCCAAACCCCCTCACTGCACCAGAGCTTGGACTTGGGCAGCTACTGGTGGCCAGCCAGCTGTGCGGGGCTGGGTGGGGGAAGGTGGGGGCGTGGGGGTAACACGGCAGCTGGCGACACAGGAAGTCTGGAGCGAACGGCAAAACAGAGCAGGGAGGGAGGGGCTCGGGTGTGTGGGGAGGGTGACTTTCGACCTGGAGGAGAGAGGGAGAGAGGGCGGCCCTTCCCCAGTTTTAGCCTTTCATTTCTTTTGGGTAAATGGCTGGGAGCGGAGTTGCCGGAGCACGGGGGGCACATGTATGCTCGGCTGTGCCAACTCCGGCCATGGTTCTCCAAGCAATCGTGCCACTGCACACTGTCGCCGCTGCTGCTCCGCAACCTCACCAGCACTGGGTATCCCCAAAGATTTTAAAACATTTGTTGGAAAGAAGAAGGAAAGCCAATACTAGCATTTGTTGAGCACTCACTATGTACTAGGTGCCTGACGTGTGTGGACGTGTCTGGTCACCACAGTGGCCCGAGGAAGTCAGTGCTGTTTTTATTTCCGCTCCTTACACAGGAGGAGCCAGGGCTTAGGAGGGAAGTGGGGCAAGCACTTCTGGCCTAGCATATCTATAGGCCAGAGCACTCACATTCACATTCCCATTGCACAGGTGGGGAAACCAAGGTTCATGCAGGAGCTCAGCCGGCCCGACCCTAACACTCGCATCTTAACGCGGACCAGCTCAGCCTCTGGAAAGGGAAAAGGCTTCTGGCCCGCCTCATCCCCCCCTTCCTTCTGGACTCCCCCCTCATGGGGGACTCTGACTTCTGCCAGCTCCCAGGCATTCCGTGGCCCCTCATGCACCAAGACCAGGTCAGGGATGGGCCTGCCTGAGGGAAGGGATTCATTCAAGTATCTCAGGGCCTCACCGTTGGCAGCCCGACTCCACAGGCATGTTTGACAGGCCCCTGAAGGCGTTGTGATGTGCAGCCCCTTTGAAAACCCAGTGAGGTGACGAGGGACCAGGGAGGAAATCGGAGGGGAGGACTGGATGTGGAAACACAGCCTTCGGTACTAGCTCCTGGAGTGAGGCAGAATTTCTGGGTTCTCATCCAGGCCCCAGCACTCGCAAGCTACAGTTGTCCCATGTGTAGGATGTGCCAATACCAAGGGTGCTCACCCTCACCTAACTGGTCCAGTTGTGAGGACAGGGCCTGGCATCACAGGAGGGGAGCCAGGGGTGCAGAGAAATCCAGATGAGGGGAGACCCTGGAGGCCTTCCCAAGATGCTGGGGCTGTGAGTGGGCAGGGAAAAGAGGTGGCAGACGGTGAGGATGGGGTGGGCACAAGTGTGGGCCTCATCTTCCTGGGGCAGGCTGCCCAGTGAGTCCCCAGGTTCCACAGCAGTGGCCCCAGGATGGAAGACCTGCCGCTGCCCACTTCTTGCCCTGCAACCCTGGGCCTCAGCTTCCTTGAGGGCTGACCCTGCACCCCGCCGCTGGGTGCGGTGAGAGGAGCAGGTTCAGGCAGGGACCAGGACCTCGATCTTGCCTCATTCCTGAGGCCTCGCTTCCTCCGCCAGGCTGGGGGTGTCTTGAGGTGAGCAGCGCCCAGGGGCACAGAGCTCCCCTTGTGGCCTCCCCAAGGAGTGAGGGCACAGGTGCAGGGCTCTCCTGCCGGCACAGCTCCCATCTTCTGCCCTGGTGACTCTGGCGTGACGGACCACTCAAAGACTGTTGAAATCAGAGTATAGGCCAGAGCACCCACTCCTTTCCCATCGCACAGGTGGGGAAATGGAGGTTCAGAGAGACACAGTGACTTATCCAAAGCCACACAGTACTTGAGGCTCGGAGAGAACCCAGGACTTCCAACTCAATAAAGCACGTATCTTAGTTTCCCCATGTGCACACTGGGCCTGGGGAGGGTGGTAGTCAGGTTTCAGTAGACTTGAGTGTGCTGTGGGGACATCCGAAGGCGGGGCCGGGGGAGCGGAGGGCGTCTCTGGCCTGCCCACGGATTACCCAGGCATCTGGACCTGCCAGGCCCTGCCTCAAGGCAGCCTTTGTCCCAGAGCCAGAGAAAGGATAAGTGATGGGATTAAGGCTGATGCTGGGGACAAGGGAACAGCCCTGGCATCCGGGACCATGCAACGGAGGGCCCTCCCTTCTTTGTGGTATAGCCAGACCGTTTTATCTTGAACCAGGAGTTGTCCTCTCTGTGACTTAATTTCCTCCTTTGTAAAGGGGGATGACAACACTTCCTCTCTTGGGACTGCTGTGTGGATGAACTGAGACGGGACCAGCAAAGCCCTGAGCGTGGCATCCAGCAGGTTTACAGTATGTGCTCAGGACGACCCCCAGGGAGACAAGGTGCCCTCCAGACTCCCAAGCTGGTCCTAGACCCCAAAACCCACCAAGGGGAGGAAAAGCCACACATGGATTTGCTACCAAACAAGAGACAAAAGCAGCAGATGCTTGGCAGGGCCTCCTCCTGTTTATTGCCAAGGACCAGCCAGGCCCGTCCCACCTCTCCTTGTCAAAGGAAGCAGCCACAGTGGTAGGGCCAGGCCCACGTGGCTCACTCAGAGGCCTCCTGCAGGGGTACCGTCGGCTGGTGGCAGACAGGCGCTGGCAGGGGTCCTCCCGCTGTCAGTCCAGCTTCAGGTCCAGCACCAGGGCGTTCTGGCAGGAGGCAAAGGGCCAGGGTGAGGGTGGGGAGTATGACGGGATGGAAGCGGGCCCCTTGCCAGGAAAAGGAAACCGATGTGGTACCTGAGCAAAGGGGGCAGCAGACACGCCTTGTGACCTGGGGAGGCCCATGACTTGCTTGAGCCCCAGCTCTCTCAACTGTCAAGTGGGGACGAGCATCCCTGCCTCTCCGAGTGGAGATAGCAAATGAGAAAAAGCTACCATTTTCTGAGCACTTACTCTATGCCTTCAGGTGAATTAGCTCAATGAATCTTAACAACAGCTCCATGAGGTCAGTGCCTGTAGTGTCGTGCCCATTTTAAGCACAGGAAAGTGGAGGCGTGGAGCGAGGTGAGGTAATTTGCCCAAGGTGGCAGAGCAAGAGTGCGGCAGAGTTCAGGTGTCCTTCTGTGGAGCGCAGGCCAAGGAGGGCTCCAGGTCCTGGGGGGCAGGTCTTGCCCATGGGGTTGGCAGGATTATACAGATGGTCTCGTGCCCAGCCCAGGCCTGCTCCCTCCAGCTTGAGAGAGGCAGGCTCTTGCTCATCACCCGTTGGCTGAAACCACTGATTGACATGGCCTGCCCAGCCCCTCCCTTTACCTCCACGATGTCCAGCTCAGCCAGGTTGTAATTCATGGCCAGAAAGTCCGGGAGTGGGAGCCCAACTTGGAGCACATCTGAGAAATACAGTAAGAGTCGTCTCAGCCTGACTGCTCTGCAGTTGGTTAGGAGTGCAGCCTGGGGCAGAGTAGTGGGCAGTAGTGCAGTGATCGATTCATGATGTCTGCCAGTTTACAGGCAGAGAAAAAATAAACCTGATTGGCCATGTGCTTACATCCCAGGTCAAGGTCTCCGTCATGATGAGGGGTCAAAGGTCAGAGCCCAAACTGTGGGAGAGGCCTTTGTCCCCAGATGGATGACACAAAGACTAACTTAGCCTCAAAGATTCAGCCGTGATCATCCTTCCCTTACAGCCACCCCGGCTGGAGCTGGGACAGGCACTGAGACCACTTGGGGCGGCCGCCCTTGTTGCCTCAAGCACTTCTCGCCCAGCGAAATCCAAGGCCTTGGGAGCCTCACCATTGACAGCCGGGATGTAGGCTTCTCGGAGATAATCCGTGATGAGGCCCGTTAACGCCTGCTCCTGGGGGAGAGGAAGAGAGAAGGAAAACATTGTATTCTTCGGTCCCATCCAGGTCAAGAGGTGTTTCCGGCCCTCGCTCCTGGTAGGCCTGGGGACACCGGAGCAAACATTCGGGTCACTGGTATTCTGTCCAGCTGGCATCAAAGCCAGGCCTCCCTGGCCTGTTGCCTACGGGCCCGTGCCCTTCGCCTCCATGTAGTCGCTGTGCAGGTGACAGGCAGGCCACGCACGGTGCAGTTAGGGGACAACCCAGGAGACAGGAGGTGGCTCCATGGACCCCGCTCCCACTCCTGCAGAAACTCGGCAGCCTCGACTGGTTGCCCATTCGCCACCTCTCTGCAGCTCAGTCTCCCCACCTCTGAAAGGGAAATCTAATAGCACCTGCTCACAGGTCTCCATGAGGGCTGAATGAGCTTGGGAAAAGCGTGCCGAACAGAGTAAGTGTCCTCATCATTGTTGTTGCGATGATTAGCACCTGCTGAGGTCAGGCTCTGTGCTGGGCCCTGAGGCTACAGAGACTAATGAAAATAACAGCGGGGCCAACCCAGGGCAGCCCAGGCTGCTGCTCTCCACGGCAGTGTTTTAAAATCAGTCCAGACGGATTCAAATATGTCCAGACTCGATCCAGAAAAGGAAACTGACTGGGAGAGACCGAGGGACTTTCCCAAGCTCACACAGCATGCCAGGACCAAGCTGCACGGTGTCCTTGCTCTGTTCATCCTGCCTCCGTCTCAGGGCCCCTTCCCTGCAGCCCCAAGGGAGGAGGACCAGTCTTGCCCTCAAGCCAGACCAGGCAGAAGCCCTCGGCCACTCACATTGAAGTCACCAATCTTGGAGGACTTCCGGGATAGGCTCAGCAACCTGTGGGTGAGGGGAAGCAGACCAGGGTGGAGGGAAAAGAGTGGCCGAGCCACCATCCTGGCTCCAGAGAAAGGATCCCCAGCTTCCCGGCCCTCCCTGGCGCGGGTCCCTTCTGCAGCCTTCTGGTCCGGAGCTCATAAGCCTTCGCCGGCGTGTCGCCTACGAGGGGACACTTGTCACCTTCTTCTATAGGCTGTTCTGATTCCCCTAGCCCAGCCCAAGAGAGTGCCCTGTGCCTCTTTTCACGGGTCCAGTTCTTCCTTCTGAGACCCCCAGTCATGCCCATTGCTCCTGCCCAAAGCCAGCTCGGCAGAGGTCTACAGCCCAACCGGTTGGTCTCAGATCCTTCAGGACACAGATTGGGAGTCCCTCTCCCCTGCACTAATACATGGTGGCGCCAGAACAGGCCGTGTGATGGCCATGTGTTGGCTGTCTATTCTGTTCCAATAACAGCCCCCTCCCACCGCGGTTTTCCATTCTCATTCCAAGTCGTTCAGATGGGGCTGAGCCCAAAGCCCCATGGTGAACATGTAACCAGGCCTGACCAATCAAAGCATTCCATCTCTTGGTCACAGTGGATGGCTTAGAATTGGCTGTGTGACCCAAGCTACACCCAAGCCTTGGTAATTTTGTGAGAATCACTGGACAAGAAACTTCTCTTGTTGTTGGGGTCACTCTGTCACCTTGCAGGGAGAGATTTCCTGAGAACCTAGATGACAAAGTGGATAGCAAAGGCAAGAAGAGGGAGACAGACCCTTGAGGACTTTGTGTGCCTGGATCTAACCATGCCTGAAGGTAGACCGCCCCAAAAGTTTTTAATTATATGAGCCAAAAGATTCCCTCTGGGGCTTAAGCCAGTTACAGTTGGAATTCTGTCTCCTGAAGCCAAAAGAATCCTGACATGATACAAGTCAGATTCATTATTTCGGCAAATGTAAGACTCAATGTGTGACTGAATGTAAAGTCAGATGTTGACGGCACCTTCTCCAGGGTGCGAGAATGAAGTAGGGTGTGCAGCCAGTGCCTCATTCAGGCAGCTCTATGGAGGTTGGCTTTATTTAGTGTAAGGACAGGCTTTGTGGAGGAGGTGGCATCTGAGCTGGGCCCTGACTCTCAGGTAGCATTTGATGGCGTGGGCAAAAGGCCTCCTCACAGAAGGGGGACATGCCCCGTGATTGAGTCACTGTGAAAGAGTCTAGTGGAAAAGGGAGGGTAGAGGCGGGAGCATCCGAGAAGGGTCGAGAAGAGACCATGCGGACGGTGGGGAGCCATCAAGAGTCCAGAGCCGGGACGGCGACTAGAGCAGCCGGCAGCCTGGACCGTGAAGGGCAGGAGAGGGGAGAGCCTGGGACAGGAAGCCACGTGTGTTGGTGGTGCCCATGAGGGGCGCAAGGATGCTGGCATGGGCAGTAGGCTCCTACCTGTCCAGAGAGGTGGCCACCTGTAGCCGGTTCTCACGCACTGAGTACTGGACTTTCAGGTTGAAGTGCTGTGAGGGGGAGGAAGGAGAGAAGGCAGCGGGCCCTCCATCAGGGCTGGCAAAGTCAGACTCCGCCACCCGCCCCGCACCGCCACCGCCGAAGGTAAAGCAGAGTGTCTCCTCTCTGCCCATGCCACCCTCCGCCACGGAGCCCTGTGGTGTCTCCAAACCCCAGACCAGTCTCCTTGTCCCTCCTTGTCTTGGGCAGGCCCGCACCCCCAAGATACCCGCGCCATGTAGGTCCCCATACACATCACGTTCTTGCTCCAGACCTTTGCGTGGGCCGTGACCTCTGCCTGCGCTGTCCTCCACCCCCAGCCTCCCCAATAGCAAGCTCTTCCCTGGCCAGCTCCTGCTCAACCTCCAAAACACAGCTCAGCTATCACCTCCTCTGGGAAGTCCTCTGTGATGCTCCCAAACTGGATTTGGGGTCCCTCCAGGCTCCCACAGTCCCCTCAGGAAACCTTTCGCTGCCTTCGTAGATGCTAATGAATGTTGGAGTGGGAGGAGGGAGGACAGAGAAAGGGAAAGCTTGACCACCAACCCTCCAACTGCTGGGCTTTCCCAGGATCAACGCCATTTCCAGGGTCAATGGCAGAGCCAAGGATGGAACATCAGGCGACAGTGACAGGAGGGTAGGACCGTGCAACTGAGGAACTGAGCACCCTTCAACTCACGATCTTGCTGTCAACTCAAGTCCCACCCTCCAGCCTTGAGTATCCACGAGGCCGGGAACAAATGGGGGCCGGACATCACTCACCACTTCCAGAAGAAAGAGGGGCACCCTGCCCCGCCGTGGAGCCGCCAGCATCTCCAGGGTGCCGTGCAGATGCAGCAGGCTCTCGCCTGCCTCCATGGTCACCTTGGGAGGCCTGTTTATCCTGAGCCGGGTCACCAGGGGCTTCGACTTGGGGTAGGCCTTGGCTACCTGCAGAAACCAGGACACGTCAGCCAGGGCCTGGCCTTAGACTGGTGGCTTCTGTTGAAGTCAGGAGATCCTCATGAAACAGGTGATTTCAGCCAGGCTCGGTGGCTCAGCCTGTTATCCCAGCACATTGGGAGGCCGAGGCGAGTGGATTACCTGAGCCCATGGGTTTGAGACCAGCCCAGGCAACTTGGTGAGACTTTGTCTCTACAATAAATCAAAAATTAGCCGGGTGTGGTAGTGTGTGCCTGTAATCTGGCTACTTGGAAGGTTGAGACAAGGATCGCCTGAGCCCAGCAGGTCGACACTGGGGTGGCCGTGAGTATGCCACTGCGCTCCAGCCCGGGTGATAGAGTGAGATTCCAACTCAAAAAGAAATAGGTGATTTCTACTCCTGACACAGGAAGTACAATGTGAAAAGGTCAAGATGTGTCCATCAGGAGGTAAAAGGAACAAAGTACACAATTTAGCTCGTTCTACATTGGTCAGAAGGGGAGTTGTTTCTCAGCTGACCCAGGGGGTCCTTTATGCAAGGTCAAGATGCTTCCACACTGAGCAAGGTTCACATGGCCTTCAAGCTGCCTCCCAAAGCCTCCCCTTTGACTGGAGGACAGTAGGGCAGGGCAGGGCAGGGAGTGGGGGCCACAGGGAGCCGGAGCACTTACTTGGGGAAGGAAACCGGCCAGAGTCTCGGTGGTTTGTGGGGGCAGTTCACCAATCTGCAGAATGAAACACAGGGTGAGGGTTCCTGAAGTCCGCCTGAGCCATCCACACAGCATCTTCTCAGCCTCAGCCAGCCCCCCTTCATCTCAGCGCTGACCACCTAGGCTTCAACAGACACTGAGTTTCGGGGAGCTCGGGCTTACTCATCCCAGGGGCCAAAGCGCTCAGCACAAGGTCAAGTGCGGAGAAAATGTTGGATGAAAAATCAGGAAGATAGACGGGAGAAGGGACAGATGCAGTGGGTGAGTAGGGGCGGGGGGTGGACCTCGAATGGATGGACGGATGGATGGAGGAACGGGGACATGGATAGACAGTTGAGCGTGTGAAGGGGTGGGATGACAGACGGGTGGATGGATGCGTGGGCAGGCAGGGGGGAGCAGGGGCAGGATGCGTGGATGGCCACGAGTGGACGGAAGGAGGGACGGGTGGGAGGGAAAGGGGAAGGATACATGGAGGGACGGGTCGGCGGTGGTGCTGGATAGAAGGAAGGTGGATGGCCAGCCGAGACGTTAGCGATGCGGTTGGTGAATGGGTTTTGTACAGACAGCAGGAGGTGAGGATGAGTCAGTGGTGGCTGCGCAGACGGGGGTGGATGGTGGGAGGCACTGATGGCAGAAGCCCAAGTCAGTCCCCAAGATGACTCTTTAGGTGGACAAGCCGGCGGGGACTCCCACAAGGGCAGAGGCAGGGTGGGGGCTGGGTGGCTCACCGTCGAGTCCTGGGTAGTCAGGTCAAAGGCCTCCTGCAGCAGGGTGAGCTCCGTGGACAGGAGTGTGGCTGAGAGCAGCAGCTGCGAGGAGCCTTCAGCGCGGCCCTCGGGGAAGGCCAGGGCCTCCCCAGCCCCCGCGAGTTTCATGGTTTTGCCCTTTTGCTGCCGCACCACAGGCTGTGGGACAGCGGGAGGGGGACTCAGCCGTGGCTGTAGGGACAGTGGCCAGGGTGCACCTCAGTCCCCCAAATGAACAGGGCTCAACCAAGCTCGTGTCAGCAAGCCATTCGGTGTTGGAGACCAAGCCTCCCCATGCAGAAGAGGGCAGGCTGAGGCCTGGGAGGGGGAGGGCTTGGTCCCTGGAGCTCTGGTGGCATTTCCTGGGGTTGCCCCGTGGCCTCAGTGGGTCTGACTGGAGCACTCCTCACCCGGCCCGTGGCTTCTGCTTCTCACGCTCAGGAGAAAGGGCTGAGCTTAAGGTACAAGGGGCCTTAAGATCCTCTGGAGGATGCCTTCATGGGATGTGAATTTTAGGACCTTGTGCTATTTCTGGAAGATGCATCTCGCCTCATCGGCTCTGCCACCAACTCACTGTGGGACTCTAGCCCAGCTTTGCCTTCTCGCAGGCCTCAGCGTTCCCATGTGTATGGTGGCAGGACACTACCAGGCGAGTCACGCGTTGGGAGAAGCCAGCAGCCTTGGGAGAAGTGGGAGGTTGGAAGCCCCAGAAACCAGCAGGGGCACATTTAGACCAGAAAGAGGGAGAAGCCCAGGGCAGGGATACCCTCGTGGTGGGCCTGGACTTCCAGGGCCCGAGGGGCCTCCTGCCCATCACAGTCCCGGTCTGGCCCCTGCCCTGGCGGGAGTAGCACCCAACACCCCGGCCAGTGAGCCTGAGAGCCCAGGACACTGGTGGCCCAGCACCTACGCTCAAGTCCACTTGGATGTAGCTGGCCGTGGTGGTCGGTGTGGACGCCAGGGCGTATTTGACAGTGCCTGTCTGGCCCACGGGCATGGGGTCTGTGTGAAGAGGAAGTTCCACTTAAAGAGGTGCCCACCCAGGGGCCGCCCAGAGAAACTGGCACTGGTCAGCTGCTCCAGAACCTGGCCCTCCACATGGCTCAAGGCAAACTGCTTGGCTTGTCTGGGCCCCTGTGGCTTCATCTACAGGAGGAGACCATGGGGCCTGGCCTGGAAAACCACATCGCTTTCCAGCACAGAGCCGGGCATTCACCACGCCGCTTCAGCACGGGCCTTGCAACAGCCTGCAGGCCGGGACCATTGGCCCTGTTTTACAGATGAGCAAACTGGGGCTCGAAGGAATGAAGCCTGTTCTTCACAGGCCACACTGCTGGGGACACAGACAAGCTTTCTTCAGTCCCAGACACTGAGATTTCCTCTGTCCCGCCCTGAGGAGCCCTGTGGCCCCAAGACGATGGGAGCAGATTTCCCCCAGCGAAGGAGACGTGGGCGTTAACACTTTGAGGATTACTGTTCAGACACAAGGTCTGTGGGTGAGTGCAGAAAGGCTGCTGTCCTTGGCATCCAGGGGTGCTGGATGGAACACCAGACGGAGGGTGGGAGAGAAGGAACCCAGAATCCCTCGAGGCCTCAGGCTTCCCACCTGGACAGTGAAGGGTGTCTCTGGACACCAAGTCTCCACCAGTCCCAGGCTGGACTGGACACAGCCCTTGAGTGAGGGAGGGGACATCCTGACTTCCCCATGTAGGAGCAAGTGTGGTCAGGTTGCACTCACCGTTCAGGTGTGTCCACTTCCTATTCACATACGCCAGGACCGCATCGATGGCTGGACACATCTGGAGGCAGAAAGGATGTCATGTTGAGAGGTCCCTGCATGGAGGCATCACTCCTCACAGCTAAATGGGGAAACCCAAGAGGTCTGGTTGGAAGGGACTGGCTGGTAAACCAAGGCCTCAGATCAGAGCCTGGACTAGAATCCAGATTGCCTGACCAAATCAGAGTCTCTAAACTCAGTAGGGCTCCTACCCCAGGGACTGGACGCCAAAAGAATGTTGCCAAGCTGTGGGAGGCAGGTTATCATCTCCTCCCGTGCTCATGGCAGACATCACTAGACAATCATGGCACTTTCTCCGACTGAGCCATGATTCCACAGCTCAGTCGGAACCCTTCCTGGCCACTGTCAGCTAATCGGGATCAGTACCCGGAAGGAAATGCATTTTCCAGCCCTGGTCTAAGCAGTTCCAGTAACGACAGGTAGAGGCTGCCTCTGGGTCACTCACCAGGCCAGGGAGGACCTTGTGCAGAGTGCTATCCAGGAACTTGTTGACCACCTTGGGCAGCATACTAGAGAAGCGCAAGACAGAAGATGGGCAATCATGTGGGCGCAGGACGTGAAGGGACACGGTGGGGAGGTTCACGGCTCAGGGTGTGGGACGCCGGAGGGTGCCGTGTGAGTGGACTTCCTCCCCAGTCGCAGGGCCCCTCACTTGCTCGGCAGGTTGGTCTTCACATCGACCAGGATGATCTTGCAGCCCTCACTCTTGAACATGGGGAGGCCTGTCTCCTCGTCCCGCAGAAGCCGGTTCGTGGCTGTGATGTTCAGGACCACAATGATCTCCATGTTCCCGCCCATGAAGCTGCAGGATGGAACGGGTGGGCATCATGGGCATCTCTGCCACTATGGCCCCTCTCCCTGCCTCCTCTTGGCTCACCGTCTCTGCAGCTCTGAGAGGGAAAAGGAGAGGGGCCCACCCCACAGAACAGGGGTGGAATCTGCCCAAGGTCACAGTCAGCCTTTCTCCTCTCCTCTTGCTTTGACAAACTCCTACATATCCTTCAAAACTCTGCTCAGCTGTCATCCCCCCCACCCTGACCAACGCATTCTCACTCCTAGACCAGTCACCCAGTCTGTGATTGTGCTTAGGTCTGGTTCCCATCAAAGGGAGGAATCAAGTCTACATCATCTCAGATCACAGTACCCAGCTGGTACACCACAGGCATACAATAATTGCACATAGAATGGTGAGACAGGGAGGCCATTCCCCTTCACCCCTCCCCTCCTCTGCCACGCTCACCTCTTGCCAGTGATGGTCATGCCTGTGGACACACATTGGAAGATGCCCACTTCAGGTACAAAGTTCAGTGTGATGACAGGCAGTTGGACGTCCTTCACCTTCAAACTGGACGGGGACAGACATCCATAGCAGTGAGGGCTTGGCAGGCAGGACCCTCCACCCACTCTACTACCTTGCTGGGAGGCCCTGACTGAATCCCCCATCCCATGTCATAGGGATAAGTCTCTTTCAAGGGGCCATTACAAAACGCAAACAAGAGGCTGGATGTGAGCCCGTTTGTATACAGAAAGCGCTCATCACCTAGGAGATGACACATGGCTGACTGTGTGACCTTGGTCTGTTCATGTGGGTCTTGAGTCAATAAAATGGGGTTTGCTTAGATCAGAGTTTGTTGACAGTGGCACTGTCAACATTTGGGCAGGACAGTCCTTTGTTGTGAGAGGCTGTCCTGGGCACACAGGAGATTTGGTCTCATCTCTGGCCTTAACCCACGAGATACCTATAGCAATCACCCACTCTCCTGAACATCATGGCCACCAAAAACATCTTCAGGCATTGCCAAATGCCCCCTTGGAGACACAATCACCCCTGGCTGAGAACCACCAGTTGGGATCCAGGATAACAAAGATTTGGCATATACACCTCCACTTTCCCATCCTGAGCTCTTGGCAGACATTGCTAATGGATCACAGATGGTACCTCAGCCCCCTCCCAGTGAGTCATTCCAGGCAGCTCCTGCTAATCGATCCCATGTGGCACTTGCAGAGAAACCAGTGTCCCCTCCCCACTCAGTGACTGTTGACACCTCTCCAGCTCTACCATTCGTTTTACTCCACGCACATTCTACGAGCAAGAGCTGCGTGCAGGAAGTCAAAGCTCAGCATTTCAGCCTCTCTTCCTCCTACAATGACTGGGCGGGATCTCTCCCCAGTGAAGGACTGAGGAGGCAGGGCCCAGGCAGGAGAAGTAAGCCGCCCAAGGTCACATAGCAAGACAGCTCAGGGCAGGGAAGAGGCCCCACCCTACAGCAGCTCTCCCGCCTGGCCCTCCGGGTCGTGGGCATAACATTTGCCACACCGTCTGCCCTAACCACACTTGCCACCCACTCTGCTTACTTGGTGATGCCTTTGATAGGCTTCATGCCTGGCTGCTTCTTGCCCGCCTCGGCTGCCATCTTCTCCAGGATGTGGCTCTCATTCATGGCGCTCTGGACCTCTGGCGGGGCATCCAGAGACACACTCAGGCAGCCTGACCACTTACAGTTTCTGTGCCTCACCCTGGCCTGAGCGACACCCACCCCCCTGGCCTCCTCAGTGGGGAAGACAGTCACCAGCAAAGAGAGTAACGAGCTGGAGGAACCACATGAGGGGCTTAGGCCGGGAAGGGAAGCGCTGGGGAAGGCTTCTGGATGAGGTGACACGTTCGTTGGTGCTTGAAGAGGGAATAGGAATTTTCACCAGGAAGCAGAGAAGGAGCGCCACGCTGGGCAGAGGGTACAGCAAGGGCACAGGTTGGGAGGGGAGGAAGCAGCAGGCGAGGGAAGAAGGGTGGTTCAGCACAGCTGGATCGAGGAGAGTTGCAGCAAGAACCAGAAGCCAGTTGCAGGGCGTGTCGGGAGGTCTCAGACACCAAGCTGGAGCATCGACATGATCTGTGGACCAGCCACTGCCAGACCCAGTGACCAGGGGACTCCTGTGGGCACAAATACCACCCTGCCAGAAGCACCTCCATGATGGTCACAGGCTAAATCCCAGAAGAGGGACAAACACTGAGCCAATAGCAGTGTCACAGCTTTTGTAACTGGAGTTGACTCATTTCGTGGTCCTGGAGCCAGGGGTGGAGGTGCAAAACAAGCGTGACTCAAGTCCCCCAGGTGATTTTAATCTCCCATTTTATTTGATTCTGCAGGGAGGGACTGGTCACCTATTTTACTTTTCCTTACATTTTACATTTACTGATGAGCAAACAGAAAGGGCAAGTGACCTACTTGGGTCACAAAGCAAATGGGTGCTGGAATTTGACCCCTGTCCGTCACACTCACAGCCCGCCTGTCGCCAAAGTCCCTTGCCACAGGGCCAAGGAGGGACTCGGGAGGAGCATGGACCATCGTTCCATTTTATCTGGGCCTGTTTCCCCCTCTGTAAAATGGACAATCATAACGCAGTGCCCATAGCTTGTTTGGTGATCACAGGATGCTCGAGGCCACGCAACCATGTGCTGTGACTGCCTGCCACCCGCCATGCCCGCCTCCTGGCCCGAGGCTCACCGTGGTTCATGATGTCCATGCCCAAGCGCAGCAGTGCCGCAGGGTCAGCTCGTGCGCTGGCTAGCAGGCTGCAGAGTGCCAGGCACAGGATCCACAGCATGGTGCTACCTGTGCCGAGGGTCCTGAGTTGGGTGCTGCCCGCTGGAACCCCACTCCCCTGGGACCTCCTGTCTCAGAGTGATTGAGCTGCCTGGCTGTGACGGGGGTCCAGGTGCCTTGGAGTCCAGCAAGCCTCATCACTCTCTTCTCCCAAGGGAGTGAGGAACAGCCAGATTAAACATGGGGCCTCTGGAATCCCCCAGGGAGGTCGCTTCCTCTGTAAGCCTCAGTTTCCCCATAGGCATGATGCAGTCTGACTGACCTACAGCTTGGGTTGGAAGGAGTCCTGCCGCAGTTTTTCGTGGGTTCAACTGCGGCTCAATGCTGGGGCTACAGAAGGAATTCCAGCCTCGCCCTGGCTCTGGGGGCTCCTGCTGAAGTGTGGGGTGGGGAGCTCTGTGTCCTCACCTTGACCTTACAGCCAAGGCTGCCCCCACCCCTTCCAGCTCAGCCTCACTTCTATGTGGACCCCAGAATTCAGTCTTAAGGCCCCTTGAGACATCGCCTCACCAATAGAGAAACTGAGGCACAGACACAGGGTCTCACAGCCAGTGAATGGCAAGCTGAAGAAGGACCTCCCACCCCAGACCCTTCAAGTTTCCTAGGAAAGCCCTAACCCACCCCGGCCCCCAGAAATCTCTCCCTCCTCCTTACCAAGTCGTGAAGTTCTTCTGACCAGGGATGGAACGGGCTTCCGTTTTGAGCTTGGGCTGAAAAGGACCAAGGAGGGGCATACAGGAGCCAGGCGACATCGGCACGGCAGGACGCACTCCAGCTGGACCCTCACTGACGGTGGGCTCGGCAGTGGGGCTCCCATGACTCACAGACCAGGACGGGCCCCCGCCATAGGCTGTCGCCCCAGTCGGAGCTGTTGCCTGCATTCGCCCATTCACTCACGCGTCCGTTCAGCTCACATTTGTTAAGGGCCTGCTATGTGCCAGGCAGGCTGGGCCACCCGGGTGCCCAGAAGAGCTAGTCCTGCTTGGCCCAAACCCTAAAGCCCAGAGGGAAAGGCAAGCAGAGGCCGTCAGGTGGCTGAGGAACAAAGCGGTCAGGGCCAGACTCCAAGGAGGAAGCCTTCAGGTTGAGACAGAATGAAAAGGGCCAAGTGCCGAGAGCCGGGGGCACTGGTGCCCACGACCAGCTTCACTGAGGGACGGCGCGACCTCTCCTGTCCTGCTCAATCTGATATCGCTGTCTGGGCTGGAAAAGAGCCCGTCTCGGCGCTTCCTGAACCTCTGGGACACACATGCAGCTGTGGCCTGTGCCCCCACGCCCAGGCACAAGGCTCTGAGCATCACCAGAGGGACTGAGGGGTTCTGAGCCAGGTGACAGAGCAAGAGGGGCAGACGAGCCTCACCCGCCTCCCCATTCCAGCCCAGAACGGATGCCCGGCATTAGGGTCACTCCAGCCAGGGCGTTTGCCCTCTGGGGAAAACAAGTGGATTCAGGCAACACGGTCGCGTGGACGTTTCTGCCGCAAACAGCGAGTGCTAGGACTTTGGCTATGCTTTCACCTGAGCTGTCCCTCCCTTTTAGAATGCCTTCCCTCCACCCGTGCACCACCTGCTCATTCCTCAAGTCATAGCTTCAGCCCTTGCCTCCTCCACCAGGAAGGCCCTCTCAATCCCCGACTGCCCCGGCCTCGAAGACCACAGCTTGAGCCCTACCACAGAGGTAACCCATGCCCCGCGATACGTGTCCCCTGCTGCCCTGCCCCCTCCTCTGCTCGTGTGTTCCTCCACCAGGGCCCCTCCTCCCTCTCGGCCTGGCACATGCGCCGGGACACCCCCACCGGCTCACCCTGCTCAGCTCTGAGCTCCCAGGGAGCAGTACCCCAGTGTTCCCTCCCAAGAGGCCCACTGGACCAGCCACCTCCTTGACCCTCCCTAAGTCCTGCAGCATCAGATGGTGGGGAGCACTGGGTGGAGGTCAAGACATGATCCACCACCCATTTGCTGTGTGACCTCAGGAAAGTCTCCACCCCTCTCTAGGCCTCAGTTTTCTCATCTGTAAATGACAGTGCTGGATAAGACACTCTTTGGAGAGTTCCACAGATGGAAGCTATTCTTACCGTGCTGAGCTCTGGGAAGTCCTGCAGATAACTGATCCTTCCCTCCCAACTCTGAGACGAGGAAACCCTTATATTCAGGAACCTGATTAGCTGCTTGGATAATTGAGGGTTTAATAAGGTCCAGATAATTATCTAGAGGCCCGAAGAACAGGAGCCCTGATGCTCATGTGACACTTCAGTCTGTTCCAATGTAAACAGCACGGGGACAGGGGTGGCTGGGGCAGCCGGTGGCACGTGGGGGCAGATGCTGGGGATGGGATGTGGTGGCCCCCATGGGTATCAGGGCTTGCACTGTCCCCTCTCCCAGACTCAGCACCTCCCACATGGCTGGGCATATAGTGGGCACACTTTCATTCCTTCCACAAACATGTATTGAGCACCTGCTGTGTGCCAGGCTTGTGTGGAGCCCCAGGGTAATTCAGTGAACAGAGCATTTAGGGCTCCTGCCCGAGAGACCCCTGGAGCCCCGTGGGGGAGACAAATCAATGACCACAAGGCAAGGTGAGGCTGAGGGAGGCACATGTGGGAGCCATGGACCTGGGGCGGGGCAGAGCTGAGGGGCAGGGCTTGTCAGAGCTGTGGGATAGCGAGTTGTGATGCTGGGCCAGTGCCAGGGGCAAGCAGAGCTAGCTCTGCAGGGCAGGGAGGTGTTGGGGGTGCAAGGGCCCCGAGATGCTGACTGAGCCCCCTGGGGCCTGTGCCCCAAGACTCACTCACAAGGGCATGAGGAGCTAGCGGCCAAGCAAGATATCATCAGAGGGGCCCTCCCCCAGGGGACACAGGACACGTCAAGTGCCAGGTAGGGGCTTTCTCACGAGGCACAAACCTGGGCGCAATGGAGGCAGGGGTGATCTCAGGGCCAGGGTGACCCAACCACTGGCCTGGGGCTCGACCAAGCTTTAGGGCACCCAACTTGGCTCTGCGTGGAGTCCTGGGGAGGGCTGGCCCAGGGGGCCTTTGTGCTAGTGAGTATCCTGGGGCTGCTGGGCACGGGGGTTTCTCATCTGCCCCACAGGGAGCCCACAGGTCTGAAGGTCAAGGAAGCCACTGTGCCCACGTGCACACAGGGCCACTGAGACCAGCAGGAGCAAGGGCCTGCCTGAGGTCATGGTGCGGCTGAAGCCAGGTTGACATGGCCTCGCCTCGATCCTGGCTCTGAGCTGCAGGAGCTGGTCCACAGACAGCATTGTCTTATCCCTGCTGATCTGCCCAGCAGACCAGGGGCAAGGAGGCCTCACCTCCTCTCGTGACCCACACGTCTGCCCCGGTGCCTCTGACTCCCCACCTCGGCCTTCCTGCCTCCCCTGGGCCACATGAACGTGGGAGGGGGATGAAGGGGGGATAGGGGTGGGGAGGAAAGGAGACACCCCTGAGAAGTGCCACTGAGTGGGACTGAGAAGCTCTGATCTCTAGTCCCAGCCGCTGCCTCACAAGCTGTGCATCCTTGGGCAGCCCCTCAGCCTCCCTGGGCTGCTTTTGTGCCCTCTTGATGATGAGGGCAGAACTCCATGATGCTCACAACAGGGTCATGGCAGGACTCACCAGCTGCATTTCAGCCGTACCAGGCATCGTGCTGAGTGTGTGGTTTGCACTGGCCCTTTTAGTCCTCAATGGGGCCCAGGGAGAGGGTGCCCATGGGGCAGGTGCAGAGGCGCTGGGCTGGAGAATACACCTGCCCTCTACCCACTGCACCAGCCAGACTCCGTCACCACCCCTCAGTTCTGCATGCTGCCTTCACGTAGCTCTATGACAAGCGTGCAGAGAGGGTGCCCAAGGAGTCAAGAGGAAGAGGCTTCCTGCCGTTCCCCTGCAGGTTGGGTGGCACCTGGCCCAGAATGTGATCCCTCTGCAACTGTGCAGCCTGAGCCCTCTCCAACAGAAACCAGAGACACCCCCATGCCCTCACTCTGGTTACCCCCTCTGATGGCCTCTGGACCATGCCAGTGCCCTGACTCCTCCGTAAGCAGTCCCACATCACCTTTTTGCAACCACAAGTGACCCAGAGCCACACCCCCAACAGCTGCTCTATCTGCAAGCCACATCCTCACCCCCACCCTGCTGCCCTCTCCTCCCCTCCCCCACGCTGCCTGTCTACAGTCTCTGAAGGTCTAAGCTGTCTAGTGTGTGTCCAGCCACTCCAAGCCAGCTCCCCCCTGGCCATGCCTGCCAACTACTCTGCTATCCAGTAGGTGGGCAATACCTCCTCTAGTGAGGCCTGAAGCTCTTTCAAGTTTGTCCTTTCTTAAATATTCTCCCTAAGCCCCAGAGGACCACAGAGAGTTTCCTTATGTCTTATAGTATTGCCATAGCCCACATCTCCTCACAACAAACTTCCCCTGTTTAAACTCCTGTGTGGTTTCCATCTTCTGATCGGACTGAGACTGCTGCGCTCATCTGTCCCTCTCAGCAGCCAGCACCCAGCAGGCACCTCACTGAATGACAGAATGGTGTCCCTTAGGGGTGGGTAGTTCTCTCTGGGCAGACCATTGGCTTCCTTCTGGGCAGGGAAATTGACTCAGGCATGTTCACTCCCCTCTTCACAAAGAATATATATTCTTGAACTAGGCACATCATGGGCCTGGTTGGTTGGAAAAAATGATTTAACAAATGAGTGGTTGTATGGATGACAGGGTGGATGATGGGTGGGTGGGTGGATGGATGGATGGGTCAATGGGTATATGAATTGACAAGTGGGTAGATGAATAAATGGATGGGTGGGTGGGTGGATGGGTGGATGGGTGGGTGGATGGGTG